TCAGAAAAACTGGACATTAGTTACTTTTCTCACTTAATATCTTCTCATTGAGTGTGGAATTTGCAATGATTATATAAAATATTGGTTTGTAAATTTTAGTGCAATATTGTGGTTAGTATTATTTCTTATACCCAGGAAAAATAATTTGATAAATTGACAAAATTCATTTTATAAATGCAATTGAAGTTATCATTGAATTAAAAGTTACAAAGTTAATAATGTCTGAATGGTTGTCTGAAAAATTTTGTAATCCAGAATATCTCTGCTCCCAATAATGTTAGATTAAAGGTATTCTGTAAATCAGTTCCAAAATAATTTTCTCCCTGAGTTTACTTGTTGAGTACAGTATTCTTCTGCTAGACCAGAAGCAATACTCAAAACAGCACTCAAACTGACATCAAGCAGCAAAGTTGAACAACATTTAGCTTAGCTGTTTGATGTCAGTATCACACTGCACTGAGTTAGCTGCTAGCCAGTTTGATTATAAACTGGATGATGATGATGTCAGCCTCAGTGATCTTGAGACGTCATACTGCAACTCGACGTTAAACTGGTCTTAAGGCCAATTGAACATCAGTTGATGATGATGAATATACCAAGAGGCCATAAAATAGCACTATCTACAAAAATGTTGCAAAAATTCAGCATCTCATTTGGTAGGATCGACATTGAAACTGTTTGTGACATTTGTGATGAAATTGATTATACAACATGTTAGATCCAGCCTTTTTTGGCCTACTGACCCCTTCTTGAAAAAAAACTTACTCGCCACTCTCTTTTCAGAAAAAAAAACACACTTACTCCTGTTCTTGAAATCAATAATGTAATGGTTTGTAACCCATAATTTTCCAACTTTTTTGGGTCATAGCTACAGTGACCATATTTTTTGGGGAAAAATAAAGGACATATCAAAGAAAATCAAAAAATACCTTATAAAATTCATAAGTTTATAACATTTATTACGAAAATAGTAGCATACAACAATGCATACATTAAAATTTTAAACAATCTGAATTATTACACATACACATATTGTAAAAATTTAAATAACATTAATTTTTATACTTTTCAGTAGAATTAATTTTTTATAGCGCCATTTCACGCTTTAAAGTCATAAAATTCCATACAGTTCATTTGAAAGTTGTATTTGATGGAAATACATGCTTCTAATGTGCTTACTTTTAAATGGATTTTTTCATTCATCCGCATATTATTCAGCAATGAAAATATTCGTTCAACGGGGGCATTAGATCCAGGAAGACAAAAAAAATTCTATGATTTTACAAATGTTTTTGAAAACAATTTCTTCTGCTGTAAAATGTTCAAAAATCTCAATCCACCTTTGATGGCAGGGCTAGTTATTCTGTCACCATTCGTCGATCTTTTCGTTTGTGACATATTTTTTTACACGTGAAACTTTGTCAAATAATTCACCATCGAGTATATTTACGGACCAATGATTTGAAATAAAGATATAGCTTTCCTCTACCTTCGCCCACAAAGGGATTTCACATAATGTGACCCATTCAAACGCCTCTATTTTAATAAAAAACATGTCCCAATCATTTAGATAATCTATGCACGTTTGATAAAATGTGTACACAACATCATTGAATTTTTTGGCTTGTATATTTTCTGATTTTTCTAATGCTAAGACCACTTTTCTAATAACAATAGGAAGAAACTCCTCATTTTTTCTTTCAACTAACTTTAGCTTTAATTAACAAGTGTATCATCCACCAACTAGAGAGTTAAAAAACTATCACAAAAATCCCCATAAGAGTGTCCACCTCCTGGTACTGTCAGTGGGCCGTTTGGTTGGCGACACACTGCACTACTGCACTCTATGTAGCAATGCAACACTGATCGTGATGGCGTACACAAAACTAACTTGTTCAATATATTATTAAAAATTATTTTTTAAACTTTGCGTAAACTTTACAAACTAAAGGACAAAATGCCTATTTTAGAAAATAAATAAAGTTAAAGGACAGAGCAGTGAAATAAAGGACTGTCCTCTTAAATAAAGTTAAAGGACAGAGCAGTGAAATAAAGGACTGTCCTCTTAAATAAAGGACGTATGGTCACTTTAGTCATAGTCCACTTTTTCAAATAGTGATTCGATGGTGCCCCTTCTAGGTGAAGTATACTAAATTAGATATTAAAAAAACAAGGAGAGAGTTTTAAAATTACTTTATTAAAAAATATTAACAATATTGGTGTATTGCTCAAAGTTTGATTAACAAATATATATTATTATTAGTGAGAGGACAGAGCTTGGTGTAATGATGCTAATTTTTCAATATTTGCTGCCATATTTGTCATCAGCAATCTTAAATTGCTGTGTTCCACTATTGACAATTTGTTTCTTTTCTTTGTTAGTAAATTGCTGACTATGCTAAATCCTCTTTCAGCTAAATATGATGATGGGAATGCAATGGAAAACTTCTTTGATGCAGACTATTAAGTCGGATATAATACTGAAATTTGCCTTTGAAGCCAAAATTCTTGATACTCTTTTTTTTAATTTCAATTTTAACTCTTCATTTGTTGACAATTCTATCAACTCCTCCTGCAGTGATAATTCTGCTGTTTGTAGGTTTGAGAAAGGTTCTAGTTCGTAATCTGGAATGATCATGTTAAAGACATCCTGAAATCTATTTGTAAAATCTTCTTTAAGTGCTTCCAAATGCTGGCAGAATACCAGAATGTTGTTGTCATTTGTTTCCACAGAGGAAAGATTTGGAAACTGATAGAATTGTCTTTGACACAAATTTTGTTTGTATAAGGCAGGCTTTGACATGAACACAGAAATACAGTGAAAACTGCTTAGGCGACCACCTGCATTCAATGGGCACCTGTCAAAACAGGCAAAAATTTCTGGCACCGAATAGTTTATCCATAGTCTTCGTATAAATTACCTGTATTAAACGACCACCCGCGTAATGCGATCGCGGGCATAGATTTTTGGTCCGAAACAACATACAACAACTGTAATAAGCGACCACTTCTGCGAATATATCTGGTCTAAACTATTGTTCAACAATGTTTCCCCCCTCCTAATATAATGAATTAGTCTAAACTCTCGTTCGAACCCACCTCAGACACTGCTCCCTCCCTCGAAATTAGGTGCAGGTGTTAATGAATTAGTCTAGCAACAAAGGAAAAATTCATTTCAGTTTATTCGAAATTGCCCAAAAAACGAAAGAAATGCAAAGTGCTGTCGTTAGAAGATTGTGTTAAAGTTATCAGAACAGCAATTAGCGGCAAAGTTTAACTGTGAGGAAACGAAATTGATTTTACCGTAGACTTACAGTATTTTCCTTGGGGTATAAAATATTGTACACGATACAATTAATCGGCTGATCTCATCGTTTGATTAAAATTATTTTTATTTATTTATTTTGAAGCTCATATACAGTACGTGTGCGATAAATAGTTTCTGTATCAACCTACCTTATTTCCACGATATTTTTAGAAAAATAATATCCAAGTAATTTTCGCACACAAAATATTCAAAAAACAATAAACGCATTAATGCAAAAATCAGTTTTACAGGCAGACCTTCCTTTTTCGAATGTAATGAAATCGTATTATGAGAAAAAATAATAAAATCGTTTTATTATTAATTAATAAGTTTCTTGTTGTACTTAAGAAAATATTAAAAAATACAATATTTTTAAGGTTAAACTTACGAAAACCAAAACCAAAGTGATATAACGCGCTTGTATATCGTTGACGTAATATACGTTACTGAGGAGCGAATGAAAAGAATCAAGTTGAATTAATTAAGTCGGAAAAAAAGAAAGTATGCATTATAATCGAGAATATGCGACTATTGTATTAATCTTTAAAATATTGGTATTAAATCTGTCTTACAAAATCACGACAACTTCCGTAAATCGAGTTATCCGATAAGAATAAAATACAATACCAATATAGTCCTATCGTTGAAAAAATTTGCTTATTTTTGCTCACCTCGAGTTTTGCTTAGTAGAAATGGCTAAAAAGTGCGCAAAATACGTACGGAAATACGGTATTACCGCACCACCTGTATTGGACGACCACCTGTCTAAAAGACCACTTTTTGAAGGAACCGTGGGTGGTTGCCATAGACAGGTTTTACTGTAGTTGCCTTTGCTTTGATCCAATTCAAATCATCTTGCAGCTGTAGGTTCATTTCATTAAATTTATTACATAAATCAATTAAATAAACTATATCATTCTTAAATTTCAATAAATTCTCTCCTAATGAATCATCATTGTTTTTAAAAACATTATAACTGAGTCAAAGAGGTCATAAAATCTTTTTAGACAGGCACCCTTCGATAGCCAATGAACTTGTGTGTGCAATAGTAAATGATTAAAATGTTTGTCGTTTTCATCATTAAATTTTTGAAACAATATATCATTGAGAGCATTGCTTCTGATCTTGTTAACTGCTGTAATTACATACTATAGTGAGCAATGAAAATGATCACTAAGGTTTTTTGCAAGTAAATGTCTGTGAATTACACAATGCATGGCGACTATACTTGGTACTGCCTTATTATTGGTATTATTTATTTAATAATAAAAAGAAGAAAGGTGTGTGGGCTCAAATTTCACAACAGATGCGAGAATTATGGCAATATTTTGAAGAAAATTATATGTGTAAGTATCAGTCAGTTGTGAAATTTAACCCATAAACTTTCAAATTTTTGTATAAAGAAAATATGTTTAAATTTACAGTTTGCAAAATTTTTGAATCTTGAAAAGAGAGCTTTAGTATAAAACAGTTTAATAAATAAAATTGCTTGATTTAAAGGGGGAAAATGATGAAAATAATTTTAATGTTTCCAGATATTTTTTATCTTATTTTAGTTGCTCAATACAGCATTAGCTAAAAAATTTTATTAATTACTATATAGTCATATTATTATTATAATAAATGTATTCATTTATGACTGTCTGTTTAAAATTGTAAGATTATAATTATTATAATTTTTGTATTTTTACAGCATCTCAAGGTATGCAAAATGGTTTAACAAGTGGGCATACAGCTACGACGACTGCATCAGGTTCTCTCATTTCTACATCACAAAATATTCCAATTACAGTCACACCTGATTTTCCTCTTACTGACAGTTGCAATAATAATAACTGGAATGGTGCTTCTACAGCGACAGGAACTTGTAGCATGGGTAGTACTACGGGCAGTGATTTAGACTCTTCAAAACAATCATCAAACTTTGCATGGAATTCTCGTTCTGTTAAACTGTTAATAACCTTATTTGGTGAGCACAAAATTGACTTTTATGATAGTAATAAAAAGAAGAAAGGTGTGTGGGCTCAAATTTCACAGCAGATGCGAGAAAAAGGTTATCCTGTTACTGCTGATGCTTGTGACACAAAGTGGAGAAACATGCTAAAAACATTTAGGAAAACGTCTGAGCACAATAAACAGGCTGGGAAAAAAGTTAGGAAAAGTCCATTCTACGACGAGATGATGGAAGCACTTCGCAATACACCAGGGGCAGAATCTTCTGGTGTACTTGACACGAACAGATTAAAGACACGTCCAGATGAAACAGAATCTGAACAGCAGAGACCAAAAAAGAAAAGAACTAATGAACTCATTACTTGGTTAGATACTAAGAAGAAAGAACAACAAAAACAAGAAAAGGAAAAAATGCAAATTTTAATGCAAATGCATAAAGAAAAAATGGAACTCATGAGTGCCTTAATTCAAGTGTTAAAAGATAAAAAGGAAAGTCAGTAACATTGTGAATAATGTATCTGTGTGTATTTGAATGTGTTTGTACAAAGTTATACAAGTTGCGGAATTTCATACAGACTTTTCTTGAAACAAAACATTATTCATTTCGCCAAATGAAATGATTAAATTTATTTTGTAGGATACTGCTGGTGCTGTAAATACTATTAATAGACAAATTATCGTCATATTATGCACGTCATAAGTTGCCCTCCAGAACTTGTCCATCCACTGAACTATTATTCATCATTGTCATCACATGTAGAATAACAAGGAATGCATGTTTAAAATCTTAAGTTGATAACAGTGAAAGTTTACATATTGTGTTTGTAGCAGTTTGCTTAAAATAACTTCTCATAGATGCACATGTAATCAGGTGTTAAGAGTGCATATCAAAGCACAGAATGTTTTAAAGTTATTTTAGTTATCAATTTATAAGATAAACATGGTTTTTGTTAATGGCTGCTTTGAATTCTCATCATGTGAAGTACTTTTTTGTAAATAGGTTCATTGCATTCAATTCATATACCATTAAAAGATGCAGAAAATGGAGTGTTATCTGCATCTATAAGGATGCAGTAATGACAAAGCAGATGTAAATAAAATTTTGCAGAAGATTTTATTTGTTGATTTATTAAATTAATATAGTCACTTAAATAAATTACATTACAGTATTCTTAATTTAAAACAGTATATGGAAAAAAGAAAATTCCAATTTTAATGAGTATAATTTGAGTTGAGAACATTTTGTATTTAAAAAGAACATCACTTAAACAGAATAGAAATACTGTATTTTGTTTTCAAAACCATTTGTCAAGGTTGGATCATTCTGTTTCTTGCTCTCATGTGAAATTCATTATAATCTGGTACTATAAACAGTAAATACTTGCTTTTGTGCTATAAAATCTCCATACATAGATAAATATTGATGATAATCCCTTATTTCTTCTTTCCATAACAGAATGAACAAAATGATCAATTTAAAATTTCTTATTACTTTATTTTAATATCTTTCCCAACTCTTACACTTGCCTACACTTAGAAAATGCCTCTGAAATATTTAAATGATTCCAGTATGAAAATTTTTCCAAACCTTGAAATCATCAATCTATCATTCCCTTTCTCTATTAATTATAATTTTAGTAAATAACTGTTTTTGTTCACATGATTGATTGTCATTTATGAGATTATTGCAAAATTTCTTTGTTCAGGTAACACAAACACTAATAGTAAATTTAAGTATATAATATGACAAGAATTTAGTGTAAATGAAAATGATCATCATAAACCTTTTCTAAACTTAAATTCATTAACTAACTATAATCAGGCTCTCTTGAAGTGAAATAAGTCTATTATTTGAATTGGGAGACAAGATTATGAGAGACTGTCAAAATAATTTGAAGTTTTCCCTGCATATGCATCATTTCCTTATAATTTATAAAGTTTTTGTGTCTTATTTTTACTCATTGTTATCTTTATAATTTTCATATATTTATTATATATAACAGTTAATGTTATATTTTTGTTGTTTTACTTTTAAGTCTTGTAATTAATAAAATATTAAATTATTTAATAATAGTAATTAAACAACTTTTTTAAATGCAATAATTTAAGAAATTGTTTTTAGTTCATATAAATTATTTCAATTCAATCTTCTAAAGACAATAAGATGAACTTGTCAAAATCTTAAACAAAACTTTAATTTATTTAAAATATGTTGTTTTACTATATCACCCAGAAAATTGTTACTAATCGCCCCCTCAACATGGAAAAACACCCACATGGGGGCAATATCGCCCTCATTGAGAAACACTGATCTAACACGTAACATGTGATTTGGGTTTTTTACTTACCTTTTTTCAGTCATCCTTTTGGTTTATTACCTGATATCCTTTTTTCAATCAGCTTTACATTTATTCTAATCAAGTCATATTTGTTTAATTTCTTTAAATATTATTTGAGGTCTAAAACTGGCATGCATAAATATTTTTAAACATACAGTAATTATGCTTACTATATGGCATGCAGACTCAAAAAGGTTTGCCATATAGGGGAGCTGCTGCCAACCAGCAAACAAGTTAAGGAAGCCAAGAGTCACAAAAGTATGGGAACCATTGAATTACAGTTTAAGAATAATAGTGTATTCATTTACAGTTTAGCTTGGATAATCAGGGTTTACTGTATTTCAGATTTTGACTTATTTATAAGTAAATTAAATGTAATTTTAAAAAAATTAATGGTTATTGTTATTTATTCAACACAATCTTATTTTAATGTATAGTAAGTCTTGACAGTTTTATATTGATCTCAAAATAAAAAGTTCATGAATAGAATGTCAATACAATTTTTCAGTCCAACTTATTTTTTATCTGTTGAAACTTTTAGTAATTTTTATATACAAGGTGTGTTCTATAAGTAATGTGATTAATTTTTTCACGACACGACGATATGCCGTAACTAGTTTTAACCTGCTGTGCTAGGTGGTGTGGGGTGTTAGCTTCAAAATTCGCCCGGTCTCGTTTGCCTCCAAGCTGCCGGCATGTGAGAATGTTCGTTCCCATGAACCCCGTTTTGAGTTAATGTAACATGGAGTGATGGATCATTTTGTGGAGCAACGCTATGCTATCAAATTTCGCATTAAACTTGGGAAGTCCGCCACCGAAACTTTTACATTAATTCAGCAGGCCTTTGAGAGTGATTGCTTCTCCAAATCACAGGTCTTTCAATGGCACAAGTCGTTCAAGGATGGCCGAGAGGAGGTCACTGACAAACCTTGCAGTGGATGTCCATCAATCTCCCGAATTGTCTTCTTTGACATCAGAGGCATTAACCACCACGAATTCATACCTGTCAGGACCACTCTAAATGCAGCTTTCTATTTGGAAGTGTTCAAAAGACTGAAATCCTAGTCACGCGTTGCCGAAGTGACATCAAGGACATGCGGAAACTTCATCACGACAATGTGCCAAGCCACAGCACTTTCACTGTCAATGATTTCCTGGCCAGGACCCACACTCCATTGGTTCCACAGCCACCTTACAGTCCTGACCTGGCTCCCACCAACTTGTTTTTTGTTTCCCCACATGAAAGGGAAACATTGGGACACGATTGAAAACATCAAGGCTTATGTTACATCAGCTCTAAAGGACATTCCGGAGAAGGCCTTCTAGGCCCAGAAACACCACCTTCACAAGTGTATCGATGCAGGAGGGTGCTATTTCGAAGATTTTTGACTAATTATAAAAATATGGTCAATAAATGATTTTTTATGAATTTGGTTGCATTACTTATGGAACGCACCTTGTATGTATTCTTCTACAAGATGATAAAATTTAAGAATACACTACTTACTAATTACATAAATTACTTCCATCTCAATATAGTTCATTTTTCCTACTGTAAAGCAAAACATTACTATTTGTTTTGACTACTAAACAGAATTTATTAATTTTGACTTTTGATTTGTAACTTACACGAGTGTATTATTAAGAATCTAGATAAATCAGGATTTTATTTCATTGAAATGTTTAATGTTCTATCTTCCGTTGTTTTTTTGTTGTAAAAATCTTTACCGTTTATAGTTTTTTAAACCTGTTCAGATTTGTTCCTAGATTTTCAATCACATCTTGCAGTGTGATTGAAAAAGACTGTGTTAAGGTGGCAGTCTATCTTTGGGGTGCCCCTAATACAAAAACATTGTAATTTTTTTTGTGGCACCCTACTTCTTTATCAATGTACAATTATTGTGATTTATATATAATTTTAGTAATATACACTAGAAATGTTTTGGTGATCAGCACTATTTCTGAAAATCGCTGCATTAACCACTTGGCCATCCATTTGTCCTATTGTTTCTGATTAGAGAAGTAAGTGTAAAATCATAACACAATATAACACATATATAAATGATTAATTAGCTTTTAATTTTGTTTGTTACAATTTAAACTGCATTTTTTAAATACTTTTTTAGTTATGTAGTAATGGCTTATTACATTGATTGTATAATCACTGTAATCAGTTGTATTTTTTTTACCTTAATAATTATGAATGAAATGAATTGTTCTTTATTTATTTCATATAACCAATTAATATTTGATATCTAATGCTGTATAAATATTTATGAACAACATTAAATTCAAAATTTTTATTTAAATGTATTAAATGCAAAAAAGTACATTAGCATCCAAATAATATTATAAACAGAATATACAAAACATATACTGTATTAAAATCAACAGTTATGCACATAAACAAATTATACTTAAATACAAAGCTTGTACATTTAATTACAAACAATATATCACAAGGATTAAATAAATTTTATCATAAATACTTTGCAATTATCTTTTTTATAATGTTATTATGTAAAATTTTTGTTAAAACAAGTAATTCCAGATCTAAAGCTGGATGTTTTCTGGAAAAACTTTTTGCGAATTACTTGTTTCTATACACTTAAAACAACCAACATAAATTATATTTAACACCGATTACTGAACATGACGTTTTAATTATAAAACATAATATTAAAATACAATTAGTAAGCATTTTTTTGTTGTTTTTAAGGATGGTTTGAAAATGCTCACTTTAGGTACATGATGGAATGGGGAACCATTGGCAATTCATCCCCAAAGATCTTCTGTTCTTCCAAACTTAAATACCAAAGTCCTGAAGAATAAATTTTGTCATTGTATTCAAAAGTTATTTGCAAAATTATACATTGTATATTTGATTAATAGAAATTGTAATGTTGATTTGAGTTTTCTAAAACACTAGAGATCACTATTAGAAAGGAAATCTGGTAAAGAATTTGAATCATCAGATGTAGACTGAATAGAAAATCAAATTTTTTAATTCATTGTTTGATATTCAATGTACAGTGTTTTTTACTGGGTAATTTTGTTTTGCTGCCATTTTTGTTTGTAGCATTGCAATCTGCTGCTGTTTAATTATTGAATTAACAATTTGGCATTAAATATTCCAACTATGTGCAATGATGATTAAAAGTTTTATCAAAATGATCATCCATTGTGATTTTTTTGGTGTAAATCATATGCCTTCAAAGTTCACAATTTAGTGTGTGATTAAAAATTTTGAAATTGTGGTAGATTTGCCAAACACTGGGAGACCTTCTACAGCATGTATGTTACAAAACATTGATGCCATAAGACAGTGTTGGTGACAGTCCAAGATTGTCAGACATTGAACACAAGAAATTGGCATTTTACTGACATATGAATGGAAAATTTTAAAGAAAAACTTGAATTTCATTACAAAATTCAAATGGCATAATAACTGTAACAAAATGACTAGGAAAGCTGTCCTGAATGGAATGTAAAGGTGTTACAATTGAGTATTGATAATCCTGAGTTTGTTAGCAATTCAATCACGAGTGACAAAGCTCATTTTGAGCTGAGAGGATGTTAACAAACCCAATAGCCATAATCTTGGAATATTTTAATCTCCAATAAAGCCACAAATGACATTATGCTTGTACAATAGATTGAGTGTTTGATTTGGCATCATTGAACCCTTTTTTCTTTTCTTTTTTGAAAGTGATCATGGATATGCTATTAATGTTACTGGTGAATGATATTGTGCAATGCTGCAAAACTTTTATGCTTGAAATTAATTAACAAGGTCTATGGTATGTGTGTTGAAACCACATATACCATAGACATAATTGTGCCACATCATTTACAGCTCGTGCTACAATACAAATTCTGCACCATGCATTTCCTAGCCACCTGAATGTCAAAATTTGGTGATATGAATTTGCCCCAATTTATCTGATTTGATCACTCATGATTTTTCAAGGTCTTTCTTTCTGTTATATATAACAGCCAGAAAAATAAATTTTGATAGTGTTTTCTGTATGTATGGATGTTTGCATTTGTGCACATGGCACAATTTTGTTCACCCACTTTAAAGCTTAATAACTGCTATGCCTTTTGTTGAAAGTTTCTGAAATTTCACAAGGTTTGTATATTAGGGGAATTGATACTATTAAATTTTAGTGATTAAAGGTCAATGGAGTCAATTGTCATATATTAAGTGGGTTAGATGCAATGAAGATTTTATTTGTTATTAGCATTTGCAACTTTTTTTTTCTTTTTAAAAAAAACGTAAGGGGTAGAAATGAGTTGTCATTTTATTTTAAAAACTTCTTATGACATATGCACCACACAATTTAAAATTTTAGCTGGTAAAGTTATGCAACTTGTTCTGCATTATTTCCTTTACAAGTTCTTAATGGAAAAGGTTTATGGTAACAGCCAAAAACAATTCAATGGCTTAAAGACAACATTTGTCAAGAAATTAACCAGGAAGTATGCTAAAATGTAATAATAAATTTAATTGAAGGAGTCTGTATTTGTGCAGCATCTGGAGATGAAAATAAGTATGGACAATTTGGGCAATATTAATGATGTATATAAAACAAATTGATTTTGATTAACTTTGAAATGAAACAATTTTAATCAATTTGCTGTATATACATTATATATACAGTAAAACAGGTTTAAAATGAGCCTAAACAGAAAAATTTCTGAAGAACAAGCAATAAATGCACAATTTGTGAAAACAATGAGAATAAGGTAACACACAGTTTCCTTGTAGTAAGTAGTTGGTTACAAACTAGTACTGACTAGGAAAGAATGTGGTTTGAGGATGAAGAGGGCAAAACCAAACCTGGTTTATCCAGAAGACTTTAAAAAACATGTTTATGCACAAAAATTCAGGTGCTAAGGCTAACACATTAAAGAGATAATTTGTGAAGAAAATGTCAACAAGCATTAACTTTTTGGACCAAAATTACTTTACAATCGTTCATTTACTTTCTCAGAGTCTAGATACAATATGCATTTCTCAAACATGCCTGGATCATTGAAAATACCCTTAGCATTTTGCTTTGAATATGGTCTCCAAGAAATGTGAAGGAAATGGTCTTGAAAATGAGTTCTTAAGGATCTCATCCAAGAAGTACAGTAGAGCATCAATTATCCGACCCCCGATTAACCGTCACATCGGTTAACCGACCGTTCTAGTTGGCAAATTTCAAATGTCCGATAGTGATGTGGCACTACAATATTTGGCTATATCTTGGCTACTTTAATATTATTTTTGTTAAATATTTGCGTGTTTTAGCTGGCAATACTGGCTTGACCATCGAAGGGAAGCCAATATTTAAACGAGACTTAATTTTCTATTTATGAGTGGTTGTTTGTTTCGTGAGCAATAAAATAATTTTAAAATAATTTTTAACGATACAATAGCGACGATTATTATTTAAAAAAAAAAATTTGTTAGGCTAAACATCGATGAAATTTCAACGTGAAGTTGGTTAATAGTGATATACTAATAAACTAATTACATGGGATATATCAATATCCTAATATACTATACTAATAATGTATTTTTTCCTTATTTTCGGTTATCCGATTTTTCAGTTATCCGACCAACCTGAGTCCCCAATTGAGTCGGATAATCGATGCTCTACTGTATTCAAATACTTAGCCCAAATCCATGGTAACATTCGAAACTTTTTAGAATCAAATAGTTCTCAATTCTTGCATTCAAATTATCCCATCTTTAGTTGGAATCCTAATGGATTAAGCTTAGTAATAAAAATTTGTTAACATACAGCAATTTTACTATAAAAAATTTATGTAACATAATTGTGTGATATTTATCTGTTGTAGTTAAAGATAAAATAGAAATACTAAAACCTATTCAAAACAAAAAATAATTTGATACATGCAATTCCAGTTTACACAGATTGTAAATTTAGAACAAATCAAAAAAGTTAGTGTTCTGATCTATTTATTCTATTAAAATAAAATAATCATCATAACAAAATGTGAGATCTGAATAGACCCTGGGACTAACCACGCTCGAGTGTGACTCGAGCAAGTTTTATAGCATTATGTAAAAAACGGTCGTTAAGGCTACTTTTGAAAAAATTTTTTTTGAATTTTTGGAATGTTTTCTAAGTCCCCAATTTTTTCAGAATTTTTTGCCTGTGCGAAAAAATTTTATCGCAATTTTAATTCTTAAGGCTTAATTTTATCGCGATTTAAGGCTTAATTGCCTTTTAATGTTTTTTTAATGGGAGTTTTTTATCAAAATTAATTAATCGTTCTAAAGTTGTAATGCACCGATTTTCCTTCGGTAAAGTTATTTAAAGCTGCTTTCTGATGTCAAAAACGACCTCTGATAGTTTTTTAATTTTTTTAATTAATAGATTATATATATGTTTAATTAATTAGGGGGGGTCGGAAATCACAATAAAAATTATAATTTTTTAAAAATATTTAAAAATATACGCGAATTTCGAATTCACCCTAGACGTCTATGAGAATGCCCCCGGGAAATCTGACTCCAGCTGTGTTCAAGGTCATCCAGATGTGTAAACAATAACTCATTGGTGTTAAATTTCACAGAAAGGCGAGACAAAGGAAACTAAATGGTGAAGCTTTTTAACCAAAATTAACGCATTTCTTTCGTTTTTTTTCAGTTTTAAGTATTTTTTATGCTTAATTAAAAATTTTTTTAAAAAAGTGGAAAGGGGTTAATAATCTAATTATAAAGTAAAATTTTGAAAGAAAATATTCTTCCATTTTTGATGTGAAAATACCGTTTTCCTAACGTGGGAAACGGATAAAAAGCCACTTCCTTTAATTAACGGAAGTTGAAACATCCTTCTGTTTTCCACTTATCTATCCAAAATCTCAACACCCTGGGAATTGTTGACCCCTCTTCCTCTCTTCACGTGAGGAAATCCAAAACACTAATTCGATGAAAAGTGGGAGATATAGTCAGAATTTTGCATGATTCGGAGAGTACGCCACGAGATTCCATAGAAGGAAGACGTATTCCATATAGGTTCCCTAAGACCAACGTCCTTAGTTAGGAGTACGCATGAAGATCTCATAGAAGAGAGATGTAGTCCATACTTATACAGAAAGCCAACACTTTAGCAATATTCCACATGAATGTAATAATGAGTTAAATTAGTTTGAAATAGAAGAAAATATATAATTGTGTGCCTTTCAAGACCTCTCCACGACGAGAAGTAGAAGACCTGGAAGAAGTGAAGTCTAAAGAAACTAAAGGTCATGATAAAGAGAAATCATCTAGAGGTAGTATGATTAACATTGAATTTGTGAGCTCTCTCTCTCAATCGCTTAATCTCTCAATCGTTTACATTTAATTATTGAATTATTCCATTTTTTGTGTAATTTTGTTTACTTTTGGGTTTATTAAATTCTTTTTATTTATTGTTTAAGAAATGTCTCTCAAGTGTCTGAATCAATTCCTTGTTATCCTCATCGCATGCGTGTTAATCCGCATATCTAAATCTGATTAACTGGTGTTGGGAATCCTGATGTGACGAAATAGAGGATTACGCAATTCATCTATTTCAGCCTTGAATTACCTATTAGAAAAAGTCCTCCACCCTCAATTTTCCTAGAAAAGGAAAGCCATTCGTTTTGACGACCAGAGGGCTATTCTCACGGAATAGTTTGCCAAGTAAGTGATACTACGAGTAATAACTATTCCGTACCCCCGGCTAGCCCCTCACACAAAATAATTAAAAGGTTTAAAATACACTGCTAGTTATTAATCCTTCTTGATGATGCAGATTTTATGATATTGAAGCCAAATGTTTAGAAATCATAGTGTATATTACAAGAATGAAATGTTTAAAAATAAAAGTTGATTAAATTTCTAGAGTACAAATTATTCAGTATATAGTGTAGTTATCATGGGCAGCAATAAGCACTGCTACTTGCTTTGGCAATGAGAGGATAAGACATCAAATGCACTGAAGAATAGAGAATGTCACTCCTTGTAGTTTTGACATGTTGCCAAAATTCTCATATAATAGCAACCAGTAGTGTCAGGTATGCTAGCTGGGACATGACATGACTATGTGGGATAAGTATACTGAATGCACAGGCCAAAGAGAAAGAACAACATGATGGCTATCTAGGAATTGTTGGATGTTGCACGCCATATTGGTAAATGGCATCAGAGAGACCCCAAATGGTGACTTTCAATGTTTTGTTCATATAACTAACACTGACTGGTCAAATTATTAGTAATACATACAAGGCACAAGTGGGAATGAATTCCAATAGCATCCCATACAATAACATCAGATGCTGGACCAGTATAGTATTGTATTATGTATGCCTCATTAAGTGTGTTGTCATAGTGGTCGGATGTGGCTTCACCTATCATGGTTCCACATACTAAAGTGGGATTCATCTGAAGAAATGATGCAATTCCATTCACACAAATTACATGCAACATTCCTGACACCATTTCAGACATACACACCTGTGTTTTAGAGTCAATAGTAGCCAAAGCAATGGATGTCCAGAAAGGATGCACCAATGTTCTAACAAACTTGCAAATTTCAGGCATATCTGTTATGTCCTTTTTGGTGTGTCATTTTTTTTAATGGCCAGTAGCATATTTCAAAATCAGTATTAACACAGCATATAGAATTTTGAATATTAAAAGAAGTTTCTACAGTACAGATAAATGATATACCTATTTGACAGTAATTTCTAAAGTTTAAAAATCTAGCAGTTATCTTTATATTACCTAAAACCTTTGCTATGGGTCACCTGCATGTATAAGCCACAAAAGTTAAAGTTGTAAAGAAATGTTGACTTTTTCATGGATAAGATGCTCTTATTTATAAGGCCATGTTCTACAGCCAATGTTTCAAAGTATGACTCCAGAATAAAAACTAGTAAGTAATGCTATCCTGATGATATTATCTACATATGTAAATCTCACTGTACAACATACAACAGTTAATTGAATGCCATTTTATTGACCATTTTTGTCAATTTTCATGAATGTGTTAATATTTTATTTCTCTATGACATATTGGTAATAATTTTATCAGATGAGATAAATTAAGTACAGGTAACCCCCGTATAACACGGCACTTCTATAGCACGGATTCGCTCTAACACGGTTCGAGAATTGGTACCATCCCCCGTATAACACGGTACTTTTATAGCACGGATTCACTCTGACACGGTTCGAGAATTGCGTAAAACCCTCGTACAACAGGAAATGTAATAAATTTTTACATACTTAAGTAATAATAGTTCACGAAAATTATTATTTTCGTGAACTATTAGTACTTAAGTGTGTAAATTTTCTCTTCTCGCCTTCTGTCGATACACGTGGTCCTTCTCGAAACTTATTTCAGTGTTGCCAGATCGCGACGCTTCTGCTTCTGATGTTGCCGAATGTTTTTCCCGTATTCCATACTTGCTTTATTCTTCATAAGGGCTTAACACCATATAAGGAAATTTATAAAGATCTTTTAACTAGAAGCAAGCAATCTAAAATTACATACATTTTGCAAAAGGTAAAGCATAGATCTGAAGATAATGCAGAAAAATGCTCAGAGGATAAGGATAACTTGCCAAAAAGAAAACGCTCTCGGTTAATTAATAGTGTTTTTAGTGATGACGAAGAAAACATTGTTTAATTTATATTAATATGTATCACTTAAAAAATTTTAATGAAGATATTTATCTTAATTATGAAAATATAATAGCATGTTTATTAATTTTTGGAACCTAACACTCCTTTTCGTATTAGTTCTTTGATTCGTATAACACGGATTCGCATAACACAGCAATTTTTTGGAACGTAACTACCGTGTTATACGGGGGTTATCTGTATATATATTATCAGTTAGACTTTTAAAACAAAAATTTGGCATTTTCAGTTATTTTGACAAACATTTGGCTAAAATAATCCCTTTCAACTTCATTAAGACTGGCCATTTGGCTACTTTAGAGGTGCTTTTGTCAACTGCTAATTGAAAATATCTAAAAATTTTCTATCCTTCATGAGTGTAGTCAGTTTGATTCAATTAGGTGTTTGATTCATTAGTCACCCTTGTGCATAGGCTACATATGATGAATTTTGTGAATATAATCTTATATAGGTCACAACCTATATAAGATTAAGCCCCTAAAACCTTGGATGAAAATCTTATATAGACCACAGTCTATATAAGATTTTCATCCAAGGTTTCAGGGTACTTGATGACTATATTTGTACAAAATTTAAAGTATTATCTTTATTTTCAATATAAATAAGCTTACACTTACCCAAAAAATATAAGGGCATTCTGTAAGAAAACTGCAACACCGGGCCATTGATTTGGTACATCTATGAATAAAAACAAAACATATTTCTTAGAAGTATGTTTGAAAGTTTAATATTTATTCAATATTCTGTCCAGTTGAAATTTTAGTTATGTTCATAAATAATAATAAATTCAAATTTCAGCAAATATACATTATACTTACCAGCAAATACATAAGATCCAAAGAGGATCCAACAAGAAGCAATCAATGAACAAAATCCAAAAACAAATCCAATTAATAACCAAACTCGAGCTCCTGTAAAATTTGTAATACAATATCTGAATTAATGCATTGTAAAAAACAAATAACTCTATACAGTTATACAATGGTTTGACATTTAATTTTAGAAGACAGATGAAAAAAAGGCTTATATTACAATCAACAAAATTATATTTTGACAAGTAATCAGTTGCCGATTGTGTTTTCACCTCCTCACATGTTAAACCTTCCATTATTACAATAACTATATCCTGTTATAGTTGAATTAAAATGAAATATACATGTAAATAAAATATTAAGTAACATTTTAAATAAAACTATGCATTTGTGATGATAAATGCATTATATTTTAATTTTACATTATTATTATTACAGTAGACCCCCCCTATAATGCAGGTTCAAATAATGCGGATTCGTATATCGTGACGAAAAAATTGTGACTGTATTCATATAAGGACACTAAAAGAAACTCGTAAAATGCAGTAAAACGTCATCGCAATAGTGGACGAGCAGCCGAACTACTTTCCGCCATTCAGTGCCATGCTACGGAGATTTTAGGCGGGCAAGTTGAGTTTACTATCATCTGTACAGTATTATATTTAAATTATATATAAATTATGTTTATATATATAAATAAAGGTTTGTATATATAAATTATATATATTTGTAAGTCTAATGCAGTACTGTAATTTTATAATTTTTACGTTATCTAAAATTTTCGCTACAGAGATTTTAGATGGGTAAGTTGAGTTTACTATTGTCTGTACAGTATATAGGCCTAAATTATGTACTGTAATCTAATACAGTACTGTAATTTTATACATTTCTTGTGAAAAAAAACATTTATTATTCAACGGCCATAAAAATTATTTCTATTAATGATGTCTCCAAAGTTCAACAAATTTTTCACAGAAAAATAACTTATCAGAAAACGCGCCCACCATTTGGTGTGCTGCTCCGCAACGAAAACAAGCTTAAGTAATGGCGTTGTCGAATGGTGCACACTCGGTAAGTAATCCTACAATTTTTCGTTTATAGCATAGTTTATATGGATTATTCCCAAAAATTTATACATAATTTGGAAATGTTGAGTCAAATTAGTCTAGAATCGATTAATTTTATGAAGAAAACCTTTCAAACAGTCGTAGTCCGTAAACTGCACACGTGATGGGCTGTGATTGGCTCACGTATTTAAGGATTCCTACAATGCGAAATTCTTATAAAGCGGAACGTATTTACTGCGTTATAGGGGGTCGACTATATTTTAACCACTCAGCANTGTCATATTTATGAATAATTGATGTTAACACAGAAGTGGCAGCTATTTTGCAATAACCACTCAGCAGTGAAGAATGGCTATATCCATCCAGGGTGATTGTATGGCAGTGGTGAAGAATGAATATATCCGTTAAATTCTTTTGGAGGTATCGCCGAAAACTAGCCAAAAACTACCACGAAAAAAAAAAATTCACCTAAAAATGAAATATGTAACAATAAAAAAAGACTTTTTTTACTAGACATTACTGTTTCAGAAAAAATTTTGTAAACAGTTATGAGAAAAAACATGCAAAAAATTCTTTAAAAATTTCCCATGTTTATTCTCCACTACTGGGGGTAGAACCATACCTGACTAGTCCACTGTTGAAAGGTTAATATAACTATCAAATAATATAACATTATTGATTTTACATACTATTTACTTGTCCTTCTTTTACTTAATATAATTTTATACCTAACATCTTATTTTTTGTTATATGTATATATATATTAATTTAAATTTTTCTCGATTGTTTTATTGTACATTGCAGGTAGTTACTGTCAGGAGGGGTGGAAATTATCAGTCATAAGACTTATCCAACTGTTTGTAAAAAAATAAAGCATTCCAACAATTAATGATAACTGAGCAATTCATTTTTACAAAATATAAATGTGACTGCCATATATGAAATAGTTTTTGTAATACAGACTATGATTCTAACCAGTTAAGAGTGGTTTCCATAGCTACTAATGCCTCTTACTTTAGGGAATGAGAGAATTTTATCATATTCCAGTTATGTGATGCTATGTCAGTTAGTTGCAATGCAGTGGTGTAAAAAGGATTATTATTCAATACATATCTGAAAATAATTTGGGCTAAAATGCAAGTGTTAAAGGTGCAAATCCAAACTATTAATAACTTGATTGAATTGTAACTTGCACAAAAAGTATAAATCAGTTCATACTTCATGAGAATGGAAAAGAGAGGAGAAAATAGCATTAAATAGGTTTAGGGCACAACACTTCACACATTACTAGTGACAAACTTCTATCAACTTTTCTCCCTGACCAAAAGAGAACAATAGTTCTACCTTTCTATCTATTGGTAGTCCACAAACAATCCTTTGCATCTTAACTCTTAAACATGAGATTGATAAAACTGAAATGATTATAACCAGAGTAGAATCACTTATATGGTCAACTTGCATTAATATGAATCACTAGGGGGGGGACAGTAGTTAATTTGCTTCATTGAAAATTCATATTAATGATTTTCAGGGTCAAGTTCAAGGTTGTAAGTTACAAAATTAAGGATTAATAATTAATAGGCAATTGAAATATCTAAATTATAATATTTTGAATTAATTTACAAAAATAATGATCTAAATGATTTGAAATCAAACAAAAATGAGGAGGAGACAGTATCTGTCATTAAGTGTGGAGTATATCAGAGTGGTTAAACAAAACAAAACTAAAAGAAATCCACGATTTTTTCTGTTGAAGATTGTTTGAAAAAGTAGAAAATATTTCTTTGTTCTAAGAGTAAAAAACCAAATTTGGTGCAAAATAACCAAACTTAGCATCACTGTACACATCCCTGATATGCAAACTAGCATGTGTTTGCATGGGTCTGTATTAATTTAAATGGATGGACATCCTTAAACTTCTATTTCCTGAGTACAGTAGAATGGTCCACTAAAACCAGATGTTTGAATATCTATACAATTGGAGGTCGAACCTGTATTTGCTTACTTGGAGAAGAAAATCTATTCTACTCAAAATTAAACATTACAGTACACTTTGTTTTTTTACACTTTTCTACATAAATAATAAAACTATTATTGGAAATAGGGTTATTTCTTGGGATTGTGAAGGTAATTTACAGTTTGGTTTAACAAATTCTGGTAAAATTTTTGTTCGCTTTATCATACGAAAATTAACATTGTGACAATGGCATTCTGCTGGGGCAACAGCAAAATTCACTTAATGCAAGAATTTGCTTTATTGGTGTTTGTTTTAAGGCAAGTTGACTGTAATGCAGGCTGACACCTGGGACCTGACATAATGTGGGTCTGAAGTTAAAAGTGTTGTCATTCAACAGTTGCCATTTTTCTATCTTTGATAATATGACTGTTTAGTTTATATGTAGTTAGAGCTCTCTTTTTTTCAAGTTGTTATGCTTTTTATAAATTACTCTTAAAACTTAAAATTTGATATATTAATAAATAACAGCATATATTTCTGTTTATAATAATAAAAAATTATACAATGTTTTCATGTGTTAGTTTATCATTATAAAAATAAAATTTACCTCTTTGCCCCAAGCATCCTGTTGTATAAGCATCACCTCGAACCTGGCCATTGGATACAGCATTTATCCTAAAAAATATTCAGTTATGTTTTATCATTTTATGTAACAGAAAAATTGAAATTGTACAAACTATAAAATAAAACAAATTTCATTAATTTTTAATCAGCTATGCAAATATGAAAAATAATTGAATGAAAAATTTAAATTATGCAATTAAAATTAATAAATACTGTAATTATTAAAGTAAAAATTTCATCAAAAATCTTTGTTACTGTCGATATTAATAAACTTTTAAGATATGTTATTTCTCTAGACAATTTTCATTAATATTAACTAATTATAATATGATTATATTATATTAATTTGATAAACTTATTGATTGATATTATTATTGAAATATTTTATAGTTCTTCATAAAAAAAATACATAAAATTAATAAATAATAACAATCTAATCAAATATTCATAATTTTTAAAAAATTCTTTCATTATGAGTACACTAAGAGGACTTTTATAACAGTCCCATCATGAATTTGATCTGACCAAAGACACGTGACCTAGATCACAAAAATATGAGGTTTGACTAATGTGAAAATTTCAATATTCCAACTTAGACTTGAATCTGGGTCTGATAAACGATAAACAATGAGTCACAAGATAATAGTTTCGACAATTATCCAATAGCTTATCTAAAATCAACCTTAATCACCAGATTCAATATCAAAGAAGAAAAGTAAATAAATGATTATAATGACATATAAAAATACTTGTAGAATTTCACATAATTATAAAAACTTTAGTTCCTATGTGAATTTATTATTATTATTATTTTTCAAGAAAGAATAGATATAAACTTTAAATTATGTAAATAATAATAAACTTACTTTCGCTGAATATTTTTCTGCATTCATTTAGTATAATGTGATTAATGCTGATATGCTATTACTACAGTAAAACCCTGTTATTATGATAATGGTTTATGCAAAGTAGATTTGTGGATCTGTGGATTGATAGGCATTTCAATGTTAATAAGTTTGGTTAATATGCAATATGAAGTCATAGTTCCACAAATTCAAAAAGAAAAAAAGAATTATATTATGTTGTTTAATATAAAGCATACTGCTTCCAGCTTCCCTGAAATTACAGAAGCCAAAGTAGCAATGCACAACTTGCATATGACCAGGGGCACATTTTTTTTACTTTAATATTGGCCACAACAGTTATGACATCATTGGTGATAAAGGTATACACTACACCAACAATGTTCACGTCAACTTGAAAAATTTTTCTCTCTCTTACTGTCAACACTTTTTATACTATGACAACGCTGAACAATTAGTTAAGACAGTCAATGTGTGCATTGGAAACTGGAAATGAATGAGATTGGGAGATTTTTTGATTAAAAATATTTAGTTTGGTAACATAATTCTTTTTTTATTTCTTTAACAACAGAAATAATGAAAAAATGAGGTAATTACTTTACAGTTTTAAAATTAAAAGAGTTTCTATTGAAATTCAAGCAAATAATTTTTTTTCAATTTGTAAAGTTTTGTGTATTCAGATACCAGATTCGATTAGATGACTAGATTAGTCTGTTATATCCAATAGTTTTAACTGTCATTCTATCAACTCCAATCGACGTTGAAAAACAAGCATTGATTCTTTCTTCAAGCCACTGTATTTCAATAAAGTGTATGCTCAGAGCAACTGACAAAACTTATTTATTTTTAAACATATACAAACAAGATAAAACAGTGAAATAACTGGGAGAAAATGTTTGCCATTTGATATTGATTTTTCTGTGAAGTTTGCTTAATATAAACCTCATTAATACAAAATGCCAATTTTTAAGTTCCTTCAACTTTGTATTAATGGGGTTTGACTGCATACTATTTTTTTTTATTTATTTACATAGAAAAGAATAATGAATATGTGATATGTCAAAGTTCTTTTCTTTTATTAAAATATAACTTACATGAATAATGCAATTGTTCCCGTGACTCCACAGACATGATATGCATGATCAAAATCTTTTGTATCAGGATAACATGCAGCTGTGTCTAAAATTATCCACCAACCACTGAAAAACTATATAAAAAAATTAAAATTATTTTCTTATCTGTAAATATTATCTATAGAATTAATAATATAAGAGAGAAAGGCTGTAATAAATAAATTAAAATAAAAATAAATTTTCAAATATATTTGTTAAGAAAAGAAATGACAGAATTTAAAATTTTTTTTGTTTATTAATTATTACAAGAAATATATAAAACTTTCAAATTCAGGATGTGTCAGTAGTATTAGGATAATGTTTGAAGTGGATATTAAAATCATTTGTTTTTATTACACATAATATTATATTAAATATTAAAAAGTTTTATTGTGAAAGTAAAGATTTGTTTACACAAATTAGATATCAACTAGTCAGTCTTTGGATGGTTTTCTACGTAGACAACCTGTGCAGTAACGATGTTGATGCATGCTTGGAACTATGAAGCACTTCATTGTCCTACCACTTCAGACACACCCTGTATATCTTTATAGTAATCAAAATATAGAATCAGCTTTAAATTATAGTTATCGATAACATTCTTTTATGCTTAAAATGTTTTTTAGAATATTAAAAATTCAATAATTTAACAAAAATTTAAATAAAAAAATCTTATTAAATTTTTATTGTATATTTAATTTTTAAAATTAATTGAAACTTATAATTGAATTCTAACAAATAAAATTAAATAGACAAATTTACTAAAATTACTTAAAAGAAATAATCATTTTAACAATCAGCATTTTTTTTGCAAATATATGAATAAAAATGTTTACAAACAAATGTACTTTCTTACAAAATTTTGAAATAATAAATTAAACAAAGTTCTGATGTAGTAAAATATAAAATTCTTTTCAGGAAATTTTATAATTATATCACCATTTCTTTGTTGTATAATCATATATTGTATTTAAAAACTGATAAAATTTTTAGAAACTGATAAAATTTTATTTTTTAATTTTAAAAAGTAAAAATTAATTTGAAGGTTTATTATAACATTAACAAAATTTTATTATTTTGTCAAAAACATAATTACTTCATGTTTTATTTGAATTTTGAAAACATTTATTCAAAATAAATTTTACTTAGAGAAATTTATGATAAATTACAGTCCAAAGTCTGAAACTTCAACTAACATAATTCAGAAGCTACAAAGTAATTCAAATGCTATTGGATGAATGCTTCATCTTCGGATATTTACGTTAAAGCAGAATCCCATGTATAGGCATTGTATCAATAAAAGAAACTTATTTTTAATTATTTCAATTTTGATCATTGATGTTTACTGACCAAAGTTTACCATTTCTTCTTTTGAACTATATCTATTTTAGGACTTCAATTTTTTTTGTAGTAACTTACTACTGTTAAGAATGTCATCAGTATTAAATTTGAAAGCCATATACAGTTGTCTACAATTATTGTATAGGATTTGTTTTTCATTTGAAGTTTTCAATCCTTATTTCTTTGATATATACATCATCATATTTCAAGAAATCTACATAGAGTCATTCTGATTTAGTTTGTATTTTAAGATTAAATTTTATTTTTTAATTAAAATGTAGTTTATTTCTTTATAAATTTAAATGCTTAATTAATAAAAACTTTTGATTTCTTTGTTTTATTATATTATTTATTATATCAACCATTAAAATGGTTGATATAATAAATAATGAAAAAAAAATGTAATTATATCTGTATAACTGTTTAATCCCAACACTGAAACAAAAAACCTTTGAAAGATAAATACATTTTCCTACAAATTTTTTCTTGTTGTAATTAACTCAATTTCTCATTATATAGTATATTCAAACTTCTCACCAATCAGCTTTAAAAAAAATAATTTTGTGTACAACAAAAAAAACTGTGTGTTTCATATTTAGTTTTACTAATAAAACTGCTAAATATGAAACACGATAAAGTATGTCGTTCAATTCACGTATTTTGTAAAATAACCATATCAATGCTTTGAGCTATAAATCCATTTTAATACTTACCTAGATCTTTAAACAAATATTAAAGTTAGTTAATCATTTAGTAAAGCATCAGTATGGATAATTTTATAAAACACAATGCACGAATCTGTACATTACATAAACTAAATATAGGAAATGTTATAATTATAACATACTGACGTAGTTTGCAAACCAGAATGTTACGACAATTTATTTAATCGGTTATATATATTGTGTTCGTAATTACGAAATCAAATTCCTTTGGCCGAATTAATCAATGCACCATTAAAGCCAACTACACAAGTACCGATATACCAGTAAGTTCATAGCCGGCTTAACGACAGACAAAGTTTAAAGAACATTAACATTTCCGACACAGTTAACGGGCCATCTTCGGCATCCCAAAAGTGGGATGCCGGCTACAATTCGGGGCTTGAATCTTACCAATGGGAATCTATCCCATCTTCCTTCTTAACCTTCTTTCATCTTAATTCAGCTGAGTAACCATAGTGTCTAGTTCATCCTTGCTGATTTATTAGATAATACTCCACTCCATATTAAATCAGTTTAGTGCACATTGTGTATGACGTATCAATTTATTTTTATTTCTTTACGTATGACGTTTTAATGACGTATTATACCGTTATAAACAAAAGTTCCTTTCATAAGGCATAGACGTTTATAAATTCAAATTTAATACTCACCATCGCTCCCGCAATTATGGATGCGATTGCATTTCTCTTTTCGCTGAAATCTAACCATTCCGGTCTATTTATATTAATATTATCGAAACAACCGGCCATTTATGATAATTTAATGTCAACAAAATAACTTTTCAAGACAATTCCTCAGACATTAAAAAAGTTCATACGGCAACGTTGCCAACTCGATACGGAAATACAAAAAAAAACTAAAAATTGAAAACGTTTATTAATTGAATATAACTATTATTATTTAATTTAAATTTCTTAAGACAAAAATAATTTAATAATATTTTTTTATAATTAAATTTAAATTTGAATTTAATAGAAAATAAATTTCGACGAAAGCGACCCTACCGGAAAGTGTTAAATTTAATCACTAGTTCGTCTGCCTTCGAAAATCCAGGATAGATGGGACACGTTGTCGTCTTAGGTGGAGGAATTAGTGGCCTTTCGTGCGCTTATTACCTGTCTAGACTGGGAAGGAACACAATTAAAAAAGTAATAACAAATCCTGATGTGTTATTAGAGTATAATATCTGATAATTTACGTAAGAATTCCCTATTAATGATGAATGTTTTCAGATTACGCTGATTGAAAGATGTCAAACTTATGGAGGTTTGATTAAAACGACAAAATTTCCTGATGAAACTATCTTCGAACACGGGCCTAGAAGTTTAAGGACTGTTGGTTTGTCGGGTCTAAACACTTTGAAACTTGTAAGAATTGTTTTTATTCGTATTCAAATGTAATTTCTGGTGTTTGTCTATCAATTTTCAGTTGAAACTCTTTTCACTATAATAATATGAAAAAATGGAGCTCTTGTCTTATAAGATTTAGAGAGCAGGGCTCGCTCTGGAAAAATTTACAATTGTTTTGCCTGTTTTAAGTTTTTTCGCCACTTCAAATTACTTATCGCCATCAGTTTTACTTATTAATATAGGCAATGGTAAGCTTAAGCTTATCGGTATGAAATCTGGGAAGTAAAGTAATCAAGCAGTTACTTAGAAATAGGAATAATTTTCAAATAACTTTTTAATGAATTTTATTTGGAATTGAATAATGCATTTGATCACAATGTTTAAATAGTGATCAAATAGTGTACTGAAAAAGGATGAGAGTGAAAAAAAACAAAAAAGAGTTTCTTGATTTTCCTGGCAATGTTTAAAATTTTGGTGGTGTCATTATCATATTATATTAAAAAACTTTTTATATTTTTAACTATTATAAAATGGCAAAAAGCTTCATTTTGAGGGTAGGGATGAATTTTATAAAAAATTGTAAAAGCTAGTAATGAGTAAAATCATCATTAAGTCCAACCCTACTATATGTTCCCCTTTAAAGATCTAGAGGGTGGGGAGATAATCACCAAAATTTAATAGCATCAATCCCGTAATACACAAACTGCCGTGCAAAATTTCAGAACTTTTTGATGAAAGGCACTGGAGTTAAGCTTAAAAGAGGGTGAACAAAATTGGGCCCCCCACATGCATGCACACACTAACATCCATACATGCACACACTAACATCCATACATCAGAAATTACCCCCCCCCTGATTGTTTTGCATTTTTTGATGTTTCAAGGTGTCCTAGCTCAATTTTTTGATCGATTGCCATACTTTCTCTCTGTTATATATAACAATCAGGAAAGTAAAAGTTATCCCGAAAAGTTCCACAAATTTTCTGTCGGTCCATAAACATTCGCCAAACTGGAAACTCTGGGTGACATTGCACAAAAATTGTCATTGGTTCTCAATGCCACTTCCTGCTCAAACTTGCCATGTGACATTATAAAATTGTTAGATATGTGGTGTACAGGAGCTCAACATTCTGCTGTTTTTCCTGAAGCATGCTTTGTGATTTAATTTCACACTGAATATGAAAATAAATGGACTAGGATTTTTATATCCACTTTAATAAAAATATCGTCAAGTGGCAATTTTGTCACTATGCAGCACAATTCTGAATAGAGAAATATTAGGATTAAGGATGGAAGACATTTGTATGAAAATAGAGAGAACTGCAGATGAATGCAGACAAATATGGCAAGAACTGTATTACTCAACATCTAATACACAACAAATTGTAGCATTTTACAAATCAAAGCAATAAAAAAAGTCCTTGAAAAATCAAAGCAAAGCAATAAAAAAAGTCCTTGAAAAATATATATCCATGAGTTACATAGAAGGCTCCAAAAGCTGAAACATATGCAAATTAAAACTAAACACCATGCACATAGTCTTCTAGTAAATAATGTGTATTGGAATTGGTTAAAAATGGAACATTTTTGGCCTCTTTCTTTTACCTGCATCGAGCGTCGATCATTACAGACTTAACGGAGATTCTAAATAAAAAACGTACTGGGAAAAAAATGTTCTAAATTGCTGAATTATCAATATATCTACTTGTATAAAAGATAATTTCAACTTAAAATTAACAGATGATAGATATCACTCATAGATAATTAAAAAAAATTCAATATGATGTGATTAAATTAAATTTGAGTTGTTTTCCAGTTTGAAAACTTTCTGACTAGAAAAAATTTTTTAAAGTATAATTTATGAAATTAATGACTCTTCAATAATTCAGGATTATTTTGATTTATATCATATCTATAAATTATTTAATTTTTTTATAAATTTAGGCTGAAGAGTTAGGAATTTCAAAAAACATTTTACCTGTCACTAGAGCAAGTCCTGCAGGAAGAAAACGTTTAATCTTAGTAAATGATAAGCTTATCACTTTGCCAAATGATTTCATGCAGTTGTTCAGAAGAATTCCTCCATTCAGTAAAGCATTTATATGGTTTCTGTTGAATGATCTTAAAGCAAAGAGGAAGAAAGTTGATGATGAGAGTTTGCATAATTTTGTGACAAGAAGATTTGGACAGGAGGTGAGATATATTAAAATACTAATTACATGCACATTAAATACCAATATTAAGTTGATTGCTATTTTACTTTGCAAAAAATAGAAACCCTTATACTGAAATTTTTATATTTTTTTTAAATATCAATGATAATTTCAATATTAAGATTTTTCATGCAAATTTTTTGCCACTTCCTATAGTTTAAAATATATGTTTCTTTTTTTGAAATATTATCTAAATCCCTATGTTATATGATTGTAAAATACAATCATATAACATAGGGATATGAACATAACTTCTGCAGTAATGTTCAGAAGTTAATCTCATTATTATGTTTCTTAATTTAAATTTAGAAATAGCAATGATTGAGAAATAACCATCTTTTATCACCATTGACTTGTATCTGAAATATCTGAAATTCTGATAAAATTTCTAATGTACCTAATATATTGATATTTATATCATCAGACTTATAAATAGAACAATTGTTTTTGTATGCTTAACAATTGTTTTTGTATGCTTTTTCATAAAACATTAACTATTAAAGTTAATGTTTTATGAAAAATATTTTATAATTTTGTAACTTAAATGTTCTCTTATCTAAACTGATTTAAAATAGAAACAAAACCTTTCAACAATCCAGCAAAATGTTTTAATATTTTAAAATCGTTTTTGAACACTTTAAGTGATAATCTTCAGTTATTCTCATGAAATCGAACAAGAAATTTGAAAATTACGCAAAACAAAAATTCAAGAAATTGTTATATAATTTTACATTAACACATAATACGCTTTTTAAAAAAATGAACTAATATGCATAAAGAAAAATTAAATAACAAATAACCAAATGTTACACATCAAGTAAAAATCATTGCAGTTAACTATGCTGCTTACATAGATTAAATCAATTTATCAATGAACACACTGCATCAATCATAGAGATGCCGACAGGTTATCATCCGCATGGAAGTCCATAGAAAGACTTCCATGTAAATGATAACCTGTCGATTGACGTAGTGTGTTCATCTGCGCCTTGTGAATTTCTAATTTTTCTAAATGCTTTACCGCCTGTTGGATCTTGTGCTTTGATAATAGATGCCTGATCCCAGAAAACTGTTATATCTTGCTGCTTGACAAAAGCAGCAAGGACCTGTCAATTGTCTGTCAATACTGTACAATACTGTCAATGTTTTTTATTGATGAACATAAACAATCAGTGAATGAAAGCATTGACAGTATGGTCCTTGCTGCTTTTGCCAAGCAGCAAGATATAACAGTTTTCTGGGATCAGGCATCTATTATCAAAGCACAAGATTCAACAGGCAGTAAAGCATTTAGAAAAATTAGAAATTCACAAGGCGCAGATGAACACACACTGCGTCAATCATAGAGATGCTGACAGGTTATCATTTGCATGGAAGTCTTTCTACGGACTTCCATGCGGATGATAACCTGTCGGCATCTCTATGATTGATGCAGTGTGTTCATTGATAAATTGATTTAATCTATGTAAGCAGCATAGTTAACTGCGATGATTTTTACTTGATGTGTAACGTTTGGTTATTTGTTATTTAATTTTTCTTTATGCATATTAATTCATTTTTTTAAAAAGCGTATTATGTGTTAATGTAAAATTGTATAACCAATTTTTGAATTTTTGTTTTGCGTAATTTTCAAATTTCTTGTTCGATTTCATGAGAGTAACTGAGGATAATCACTTAAAGTGTTCAAAAACGTTTTGCTGGATTGTTGAACGGTTTTGTCTCTATTTTATTTAATTTGGTTCCAGTAAGCAAGTATTTATTTATTTAAACTAATTTAACAGTTAGGAATTGTTTGACACCAAAATTACCTGAAGATCATTGTTATAGGTTGGTATTGGATTTAATTTTATAGTTGTAGCATATATAAACACTTTCAGTTTTGAGTTTTCTTAATAAATTTTTATTTTTACATCTAATGATGATAGATCATTCAGTATACATAGTATATTGAATGATATATTTGTAGTACACTATCCAGTACACTGCTTTTCTTAAATTTAAGTTTTATGTTAAAATCTGAATATTAATTTGACCTAATTTTTATCAATAACATAGAATAATTTTGGATTCTATTTCTTTGTCAGCCTTTATTCTTTAAAATTGATTTGGATTTGAAATTTAAATTGATTTTCAAGTAATCAATTATTGAACTTTGCAATTAGTGAAATAATGAAATAATTTAATTTTAAACAAATCCAAATATTTATCATCCAACAAAATAACAATTGGTTACAATATATGTAATACATTTTAACTTTTCTTGTTAGATAGCTGATTATATAATTGATCCTGTGTGTCGTGGTATTGTTGCTGGTGATGCAAGAGAAATAAGTGCAAGATCTCTTATTTCTAATATATTTAATTTAGAACAAAATTATGGATCTATAATAATTGGACAGTTAAGACAGAAAAAAGGTAATATTTTATAAAGAAAAATTTTATATAGAACTATATATAAGAAATATAAAATCTTTATAATATAAATTAAAGAATTTTCTATTTAATATAATATATAGTTTTGTGAATACTGGAAGTATACAAAATTTCATCACAGTACAAATGTAATAGACAAAAATTCTTGAGTTAGGTAATCAAAAAGATTCATTCAGAAATGTTCTTGGCCTCTAGGCCATTTTCAACTCACATCTGTCTATGCACAAATTCACTGACTTTGGCCACCAGCTTTTATAAGATCACAAATGGAATTTTTCTGTTGATGAATTAGTGCTCTCCAATCTAGATATTCACTGTGGCATTTGCTTATGATTTTGAAATTCTTGGATGATGATGTCATATCAACAATTTATCAAGTTGCATACCCAAATTACAGTTAATATTATTTTAATTTGTTATTATTTCTACATGTTTTTTAAATTTTCTGTTATAAATATTTTTTCTCTATGAATAACTTTAACATTAATTAAATCAATCTTATATTATTTTTTTTATGTACTGCTACCATAGTAAATTACTATATCCAAATTGTATCATTGCCTGGTGTTCTTTTATTCTGGCTTCCAACTCACTCTTTGTTTCTGTGATATATATTACTGGTGTTTAATTAAGTTGATATTTTGAATTTAATTTTTGATTTAAAAAATTGCATCCTGAGATGATATAGAAATGTTATAAGTGTCAAAGAAATAAAGCAGAACTAAATTCAATTAAAAAAAATCAAATTTCTGAATTTTAGAAACCAACTGAAATGTTTCATTTTTCACCATATTTAAAGATACAGGATTTATTATATAACTCACAAATTTCTATTTAAGTTCCAAAATACAATTTAATATGGTGGACTTTCAAAATACCAAAAAATATTTTAGATTAATGAATGATTAACAGAAGATTAGTTAAATTTTTTTTTTTTGCACTATTAAATTAATGCTAATTAAAAAATTACCATACTATTAAAATTTAACAAACTCAATGAAAAAATATTAATCACTGAATTCAAAATTAATTTGCCATCACTATATGAAGTTCTAAAACTGTATTAAACCTTTATTTCTCTCTCTCTCTCTCTCTCTCTCTTCATATCTACAGATAAGCTGAATACAATTCTTATGACATCAAAGTGATTTAACAAGAAAATTTGAATTTCAAAGTTAAAAATAAAAGCAATGGAATTTTACTTGCAGAATAAATTTTCATTTAATAAAAAAGTACTAAATATATGTTATTTTCTAACAGATCAACAAACACTAAACTTTCAAATATACTAGTAATAGTGGTGGTATTAATATTGAAAAATTCTATTTTGGTGTCAGAATAAAACTGAAGAGCTATTTATTAGAAGAAACTTGAAAAACATATTATTTTAATTTTGCTTTTTGAGAATGCAAATAGTACTAAATTTATGAAAATATATTCAGAATGTTTTCAAAATAAATAATATCTCTGAAAAACAATTAAATCATTTTTGTATTGATTTATTTTGAGCTATGTTTTGTCATTATACTTTTATTTTTAAATTAAATTGTTAAATTAAAAATAAAATTTTATCAGCATATATAATAACATATATGCTGATAAAATTTTATTTTTTAAACTTTGATATTTTAGTTGATAACATAACAAAAATTTTACTATTGTTGAGATAATGAACTTAAGCATTAAAGGTAAAGACAATTAAATCAGTTATTTCTAAATTTTAATTAAGGGATGGTCAAGAAGTAAATTGACATAATTTGGTTTCAAAATTTTACTTGCTGTAGAAAGCATCAATGTGTCAAAAGCAACATACACATGCACTGACATATTCTATATTCAAATTCCTTGAAATTGACATTTAGATGTGCTCAAAGTTAAAATGAAGCAGACCAAACATAAACCTCCCACTAAACATGTTGTGAAGCACTTTACTGAAAAAGCACATGAACTAATACTTTACTGTCCAGTTGAACACCTAAGATAACTGACAAATTGTAGAATATGGTCAGTAAACCTTTCAAATCGAAACTCAACACGTCACTAACTGCTGCAGCTGTAGAGCTAAAACTGATCTCATCAACTCTAGTTGTAATTAAAGTTGAAAAATTGTACATAGAAAGGTAGTTTAAAACCACAGCACCAAAGTACTCAGGGAATCAAGAATTGTGTATAAAAATTGCATGTAAACCAATTTAAAAAAACTCAGGAAAAGGTCATTTTTATTGATGGTGAAATCTACATGCCTCAAGACCCAACTAACATTTTAGGATGCCATTTCTGACATGCCCAGGATGCAGCTGATGTTTCAGAAGACTTCAAATTTAAGAACAAAGCAAAATTCCCAAAAAAATGGGTTGTGTGGCAATGTCTGGACACTTTTGGAATATTTTGGAATCTTTCTTTTCTGAGGGGACATATAACAGTGTATATTGAGAAATAGCAAACCCGAAAATTCTTGGCACAGCCAGGGAGGAGACAATTATCCTTGTCATTCCTAACTGTTTAGCTAGACCTGTCTTAGCGAAACGCTTTACTCTTGCTTGTAGCCTTTCCATAACCTTTTCGTGCGCCACTTTACATTGTGTGTCTTCTATGTAGCCTATTAACACTCTTTATATGTGCCTTACTTCATTAACACCATGTTTTTTGACTTTTTGACTCATGACATAATATGGAAGGATATGAGAGAGAGTAAGAAATGGATGCAAGAGAATGATGTAATTATTACAAGAGTTGAATGGGCATAGCCTGATGATGCCTGTTCAACATGGGCAAAAACGTTAGCTTTATCAACTTTTTTATACTGTTGTTTTGGTTTTTGTGGTTGTTTTTTTAATTAATCAAGTTTACCCAGTTGTGAGTAGTCGTGTTTCAACATGTGTCATTACAAGTCATGTTTTTCTTACAAACATGTCATTAATGTATAGCAAGGTTTTCTGTATTTAACTGATATAAATATATGTGTTTATCTTACTTGTTAAAAATAATTTGTTTTATCTCTTATTTTTTATCTTTATAAGCAAAGAAAAACAATGACACTTGTTTTTAAATTGATAATAGCTTATCAATTACATCAATTATTTTAATTTGTTCACGTCATTTTCAGAGGAATATTAATTAATTAATTAAACCATAATACACTGGTTTGATTTTAATTAATAGCTCATCACAAATTTCATTAATTTTGTAGTTTTGTCAAATTAGTCGTACACCAAATTGCAATAAAATAGAAATTTATAAGTTTATATCTTACGTAAATGTTAATATATAGTATACAAGTAAGTTTTAATTAATTTTGATTGTTGTTTATATTAAAAAAAGTAATTATTTTAATATGTTGTTTGTTGTCAAAATCAAGGGAAGCTATAGTTAAATTCAACTTTAACTTCATTTTAGTTTTAGAAGTTTTTCAACAAAATCCTAATGAGGAGTAGAAAATATAAAATTGAAAATATTATAAAATACAACTTTCTGAATAAAGAGAGTCACAAAGTATTACAATGAACATTTCACATACATGAAGCTTTAGTAGGATATATGCATTCCACTACAATGTGTATGCCTGGCAAGACAGCTATGTCATCTTTCTAGAAGCTTACAAAGAAATGTTGGTAGTAGTTGAAGCATTATGTATGTGAAATGTTGTAATGCAACTCTGTTTATCTCAACAGTTGATTTTTATGATTTATATTTTTTAAAATCACTGATTATATGTAGGTGGTTTTTTTCAACCTTTGATAGACCATAAAACAAAGACAAGTATAAATAACAAAATGAATTTATCATCAAAAGTTAGGTACAAACATGGTTACTTTTCAACATAATCACTGTGAAGATTGAGGCATTTGTTTATCTGTGGACGAGCTTTGAATTCCTTTCTTCACAGAATATTGCCGCCAGTGATTGAGATGGGCCTTAATGTTTTGAAGATCATCATTAGTAATGGAAGTCATCACACATTAAAGGTATAAACACTTTCACTTTTTAGATTTCCACCTAGCTTGGAACTTTTTAAACACATAGCATACAGCCGCAATTTAGCATTGAGCGACTTCCACCTCTTTCCTGAACTAAAAACATGGCTAGGAGGGCAGAGGTTAGAGACAAATGATGATTTTCAAAACTATGTTAAAGCCCATCTCAAGTCACTGGAGGCAACATTCTATGAAGAAGGGATTTCAAAGCTCGCCCACAGATAGACAGATGCCTCAATCTTCACGGTGATTATGTCGAAAAGTAACAATTTTGTACCTAACTTTTGGTAATAAATTTGTTTTGTTATTTACACTTGTCTTTGTTTTATGGACCATCGAAAGTTGAAAGATCCACCCTTGTATATTTAAAAAATAAATAACTGTATAAACAATTTTTGTATGTTTATTACCCTTTATTATCCTATGGTAACCATATTAAAAGGCAGCTGTAGAGCTAAAACTGATCTCATCAACTCTAGTTNATTGCCTAAGTCTCTCTTGAATTTTTTAGAGAACAATGAATTAATTTCTTTATGCAATAACATTGAATGTCAGAAAATAATATTTGAAAATAATAAAGCAAAGGTGAAATTTTTATATACGTAGATAGTGTATATATTTTTTTCAGTTAAAAATTTAGTTATTGTTATAAATATAGAAATCTTATTCATTTCATTTTAGTTATTGAATTTTTTTAGTCATAAAAAGTAACATAGGAAACTAATAGTTTTAAATTTAAATGTACAAAACTGACTGAAAAATGTTTAAACTAATAATGACATTTTCCAACTTTCCATTAATAGATTCAATTATGCGGAATAAGATTTCGTTACTTTTACTCAAGTCAAGAAAATATAATTTAAAATTATCTTTAAAAATGGATATAAACATCTTAGTTACATTATGAAATTTATAAATTTTAAAGATTGCTATTTTTTTAAATTTTACATACATATTTATGTACATAAATACTTGCATGCCTGTTATACATATTTAATCTGTAGATATAAAAAGAATAACCTTTAGAACTTAATTTCTGATATTGATTTGAGTTTATTCATTACAGATAGTTTAAGATTAAAAATTACTTAAATTTCTTACTGGGTTCTAACGTTTTCATTCATATTAAACAAGCATAATCAGGATAACTTTAGAAGTTAGCCTGACAATGATTGAGCATAGATGAAAATGTTTGTTTTCTTGTAGTTTTATATTTTTTTGCTGGATATGGTTATATGTGTAATGCTTATTTATGTATACCCAGTTTCAATAGTTGAATATATAGATTAAAATTTGAATCAATTCCATATCTAAGATGTTGTTTATAGTATAATGTAATAATATCTAATTGATAGATATTAGAAACTAAATCTATTATATTTTCTTGCTCCACTATTAAATTTTAAAAAGTATTAAAATTTAGTTTTAATAGTTTATTAAATTTATTTATTTTATAAATTATTTTATAGGTGATAACATCAGAAAATACAATTGAAGCTGATTATGTATTTTCTTGTATTCCATCTCAATGTAAGTTAATTTAATATCAAATTCTCTTTATATTTTGGTGCCAATATTTCATATCATATAGTTTTGTTTAAGGAATGTTATTTTAAAAATGTTTAATAATTTTAAATTAAATATCTGAATCTTATTGAAACATTTGAAGATATGTATCAAACAATTTATTGACAAGACTGTCTTGTTTATAAAATTGTATTGCCGGTTTATGTTACCAGCTTAGAGGTATGAAGAGTACATGTCACGAGTTGATATTTGGCACAGAGTATTAGGTGCTCAAATCATTTGCACATAAGAAAATCCAGACTTGTACGTAGTTGGGGGACTGAAAACCAAGTCAAAATAAAATATAAAATGGCAACCCTCTTCTACAAACAGGCAAAACAAGCACCTCACCCCACTGAAGTCGGGGGAGAGTACCACCCACAGTCATTCTAAGAAGTGAATGCTGACCTTAGGACTGAACACATAGTTTCTTCTATGTTAAATAAAATTTGTAATCTAATTTTGTAAATTTGGGAGTGCTTCAAATACAGCAGGGTGTCATTACAAGTAGGTTTTTTAACATTATCTAGTATAATAAAATCGTGGGACCGACAACAATTTGACATTATATTAGGTTGTCGTTACATCCGATGATGTTATAATCGGGTTAAACTGTATATTGTTTGTGCAAAATTAAAAAGAAATTTTGGACAATACAATAGCCATGATTATTTTTTTCAAAAATGGGAAATTTTTGTTACGCATCGACAAAAATTCAACCTAGGCTGACACACAACAGAGAGAAATTTTGAAATTGGATAGGTTAATTTAATCGAAAATGCATCGTGGACGACCTCGTGGTTGTGGTCGGGGAAGTTTGAACAATCGCGCCCAAAAGCAGCAATAACAAAGAAGATTGGAGAATGAGAACGAGACCTGCCTTGAGCATCAAAGTGATTCTACTTAGTAGTGAGTCTCCAAGACACATAGTCTTGTCCCAAATATAGTTTTGCCATTTTACTTGTTTTAAACATATAACATATATATTAAATAAATGAAGATTCAAAATTTTGAATGAATCTAATACTGATTTATTATGCTATAATTTTATTTTTATTAATTATTTTACTCTAAATTTTGCAACTTTCACTCAAGCCCAACATCCTTATGGATGAGAGTTTTCATCGTTATCAAGATTTTCTTACCAAATAATTATGATGATTATTATTTTCTCTTCTCAGCAAACTAGGAACTAATAACCTAAATTCAGACTGATCAAAAATTTAGAAATCTTCACCCAGATTGGTTTAATTTAATTTTGTGCAATTCAATCTGTATAAAAGGATTGATTGGAAATCTTGTCATTCAAATGACAAAATTGGAAATGAAAATTTGAGTTGTAATAGTCAGTTATAAAAATTTGTTATAACCTATTAATATATTACTATACACAGGTGAGACAATCTGTTATTCTCTCTCTCCCCCTTTCTCTCCATATGTCCAAATTACCAGACATGATAATACATGAAAAAGAATTATTCAATGTAGACCATAAATTTTTTCTAAATAAATGTATTGTTGATGATGATAAATTATTTTTGCTCATCATCCCAAACTCATAACATTGACCTTTAACAAGGCATGTTCTGTATTATTTAATTATTCTGTAGATTTGCATAGATTAACTGCTCAGGCTTGATTGTTATTGTCAAATAAAACTGTCAACCTTACACACAATATTTAATAACATCTAAAGAGAAAAATATTTAAAATGACAAAATTTGTCCAAAGAGCACATCATCCATTTTTTATAATGACAGTAATGATAAACATACGTCTGTATAAAGGGATTCAGATTACTGTCAGATTCAACATAAAAAATGCTAGAGGCTTTTTTAATATCCACTCGTTTGGATTATTCAAAAATTATATAGCAGTGAAATATTATATTTGTATTTTGAATTTATACATAGTAGAGTCAAAAAGAAACTGAACTTGTACTATTAATGTAATAAAAGTTACATTTAAAGTGTTTACAGAAAAACATCTTCAAAATAAACACTTTCTGTAGCTATATACTTCTGCCAAAGTTCACTTATTATTTTAAAACATTCTTGTAGTTTATTCTGTGTCACCTTCAAGCATGTAATTTATCACTACACTTTTTATCTTTTTTTGCTGATTGAAGCTGTAGCCCTTCAGTAGACCTTTCATTTGACATGAAAGTCTGTAGGAGTGAGGTCTAGTGAGTAAGGGCAGTCTGGAAATAGCGTTTTGTTGATATTCACCAATTGTGCAAGCATGATATGCTAGTGTTGTTATCATGTTGGACAACCCAGCTTTTTACTTACCAGAGATGAAACCATTTTTTATCTTACTGTATCATACTGATAACTGTGTGTGTCAATATAAGACTTTTTGTTACACAGTATGCTGTTGAGAACAAACTTCTAATTTACTGGGCCTTTTTATATGAAAAAAATCATGATTTGTGAAGATAATTTTTTTACCTTGGTGAAGAAGCTGATTTATATGATGTGTGTTTGCTTTGTGAATCTCAAAAGAAAAATAAGTTTTATCACCAGTAATCACATTGTTTAAAATATGTGGATCTTTATCAGCTGTTGTTAATTCCCTGCCAATGAGTGCACATCTTTCATTTTGCTCATTTATTAACTCCTTCAGAACAATATTGGAACAGACATAATGCAGTTTTTTAAGTGCAGTCTTTGTGAAGAATGGTATATACAGAGCTTTGTGTGATTCCCAAAATGTTTACCAAATCGTCTATTGTCTGCAGCCTCTTTTGATCTTTTCATGAACTTGAGAAATAATTTCTTCATTTTTTACTGAAACAACATACCTGGATGGGAATTGTCATCTATTAATTCGTGGTTTTCTTTAAAACACTTATGCTGTTTATATATTCCTGATTAGGATGTGGCATCATTACCATATGCTTCTTTAAGTAAATTAAATGTTTTAGTAAAATTTTTGTCCACTTTGACATACAATTATTATTATGATCATCATCATCATGTAAATCAAAAATCTCATCTACTGGTCCCTTTTTATATGCATGGATCCAAATATTGATTTATACCTCTACTGACTCTGTTACAGTTTGTGCTTATAATATTTATAAAAAATATTTATGCAAAAATAGTTATATAAAGATATTTGAATAAAACTAAAATGTGAAGATAAATTAACACTTTTCATTTTTATCTAATGCAAGACAAGATGATAGTTTGAAGCAGAGTGAATATATTTTTATGCCTGTTACCATTTGATATAACTGGAAATGTATCCACTCAGTTTTCATGAGTTACTGTATTGAGTCCCGCTGTAAACAGATCATCTATAGAAGTTTAAAATTAAGTAATTATATAACTTAGATAAATTTTTATATTATGACTAGCTTACCCGTCACGCATTGCTGCGATCTCAGAAGAAAGGAAATTCAAGCAAACTCGTTATGATAAAATTAAATTTACATTTTATCATTTTCATTGAAACTTATTATTATTATTCATTTTCATCGGGAAAACATTTCAAAGTGTCGTTTCAATTTTATTTATTTATTGGAGTGCTTTGTGGATACACGATATTTTTTGTTTTTCCGTCTGGTGCGTACACGAATAAATCAGAAGGTTTTCCGACGCGTGAGCTGGCCACATACAGTTGTCCATGCGAGAAGCACGGATTCTCCAAATTTAGCCCACACACTTGCAGCGATTGTCAGAAGTGCGATATTCCCCATTTTTATATATATTTTTTAATCCTTTATAATTTTAATTATTTAATTGCTCCTTCCTCTCTTCCTTGGCATGTTGTGAAATTTCTGATAGTTGGATAATAAACCGTTTTATTGTAATTTGTCTTTTTAAATTATTTTGAGTCGATATTAAAATTTGGAAAAGGGGGATACCTAGATCGGTAAAATAGGCGAATTTCTTCCTACAACTTCGGTCGTTGTTCGGGGTACAGTTAAGATTTTAACGAAGTTCGAGCGAAAACATAATTAGCAAAAAAAGTCGAAATAAAGTGATTAAACAAAAATGATTACAAATATCGTAAATAACAGTTCACAAATGCATATATAGAGATATTTTTTGGAGGGGGGAAATGGTCTTCACAATTTGAAATTGATCGAACACACTGTGCTCGAATGCTCGTGTAAACGCGCGCCATCTATCGTAGGGTAAATGCCAGAAACCTTCACGGGAGTGTATTAAAAAAAAACTTCCCAAAGCTTCATGGCAATCGTACTATGCCACAAACCTTCACGGGAGTATATTAAACAATTTCTCAAAGTTTCACGGCAATCGGATAAACGGTGTGGTAATGCATGAAGGACACACACACACACACACACTCATTTATTTTTATATATATAGATTATTAATAGAAGACCAAGTTTATATTAATGACAATTTTTCTAATCAGTCATATTTAGCCTTAATAAAGCACCTCATTGAATAAACATCAGTGCAATATAGAAAATTTTACTTATTTAATATAAAATGGATTTTATATGTTATTTAGATAATCATATTTATTAAATTTTTATTATTAGCTCTTTCACAAATAGTTTCTGAACAGTGTCCTCAGTTATCTGATCTACTTTCAAGCATTTCAACAGTGCATGTTGGTACAGTCAATCTTGAATATGATGGAAATTGTTTAAAAGAAGAGGTAAAAAATTTTATTTATAAGTTTATTATTAATAATGGTAATGTATATTATTAATAGTGTTTTGAACATTAAATCAGAGAACATTAAATTTTTAGATAAGAAGAAAAATGGTATTAATTCTCACTATTCAATAGACAATTTTTACTTTAGAAAAATGCTTTATTTAAAAAAACTTTCAGTTCATTGTATCGTCTAAATGATTTGTTTTCTTTACAAAAATATTTTAAATAATGATTTTTATAAGAATTATAATTTTTTTCTAAAACATTACTTGTTAAACATAAAGTATTTTTATTTCCACAATTTTAATAAATAAATAAAAACTTTTAATAGTTATGAGTAGCCTTATGTAAATATACTTTCAACAAAAAATATTTTATTGACAGTGCCTGTAAATTAATAATAATCATTTATATTGTTTTTATTACTTTAAAAAGAATTTTTTCAATATTGTTAGATTAGATAAATATCAATTCAAAAGGTAGTTTTCCAATTTACACAAGAACAATTTGTTCTGATTTGATTCTACACATAAGCTATATTGTATTTTAAAGAATTTGCAATTACAGTAGAGCATCGATTATCCAAATCAATTGGGGACTGGGGTTGTTTGGAAAATTGATTTTTCAGATAACCGATTATGTACGAAAAAATATATTAACCTATCTTATGTTGAAATTTGTTCAAAGCCTGCCACTTCCTTAAATTAAGTACCCTGTTATGGTCACGCCAGTGCTGCCAGCTAAAATATGCACACCAACAAAAATAATATTGGAGTAGCCCAAGACATAGCCAAAGATTGCAGCGCCACAGCACTAGCAGAAATTAAAATTTGTCGACTGGAAAGATTTCGGTTGATCGACATTTGGATAATTGATGCGCTACTGTATTTTAATAACTGAGTAGATGTAGATGATGATCTACTTAGTTTTAATATTTTAATAAAAATATCAATTATTATTTTAACGTTAATTTGAAACAAAATTTATTACTTCAAATATTTTTTATTTTAGGGATTTGGATTTTTAGTGCCATCAAATCAGAATTCAAAGTTATTAGGAGTTGTATTTGACTCCTGTTGTTTTCCAGAACACAATGGGAAAACTAGGAATAAAACAAGGCTTACAGTATGTATTTGATATATTTTTTAAAATTATTATGCCATTTAAAATTTATATATTGTGATTTTATACAAAAGAATACATAAATCTCTCTACTTTTAAGAAATTTTAAATATTTTGTAATTATGATTTAATTTTTTCATTTAACATTTATGAAATGATCAATTTTTAAAATGTTTTAGACATAATTAAGCAGTTTCTGTCATTTCTGATGGACTTTAAATTTCATATTACTATAGTCAATATACATATTCATTTATATTTTTCTTAGCTCCAAGCAGAGGTGCAGAATATTTTCAGGACCAAAAATTTCCCAGAACATACACAGAATTTCTTAAAAAATTATTGCCCACTAGCACATATATTTAATTCTTTTAATTTAAACAATTTTTACACTTTAAAGTTGTTTAATAAATTAATATTTTTCTTAGCTCCAAGCAGAGGTGCAGAATATTTTCAGGACCAAAAATTTCCCAGAACATACACAGAATTTCCCTGAAAATTATTGCCCACTAGCACTCAAAATAAAACAACAATTTATGAATGAATTAATTACTACTACTATGTAGTTTATTTGTAATATAAATATACAAACTTCCATAGGCTGAACCAATGTTTAACACTTTTAAATTGTTTGCACATTGTACTCAATTTGTATGTTTGTAAATATTTTTATAGTAAATAAAAATGTTTTTATTTAAATAAAATATATGTAAATAAAAATGTTTTTATTTATTATAAAAATATTCACAAATTAGAAAAAACAATAAATGTTTTCATATCACAACAGTCTTTACAGCAGAGTTGACCTTTTATTTGAAACTACTCATCCACCTTAATATGCAAAAACATTAAAAATTATAGGGTGAAGGTTTGTTCCTGAGGTGTTGAAAAAGATATGATGTGAGAAAACATTTATTGTTTCTTCTAATTTGTGAATACTTTTTATATTTTNCAATTTTTACACTTTAAAGTTGTTTAATAAATTAATATAAAATAAAGCATTCTTTTATCATCACAGGATAACATGTACAGTACAATTATAAACTTAATATAATACATTGATTAATAGAAGTAAAATTGAAGTCGTTGCATATACCACTAATGACTATTTTTAGCAGAGGACACTAATTAATGGACTGTTTGATGTCTAAAAATGCAAAATTTGTTTATGACGACAATGGTCATGCATTTTTTTTTCTGAAAAATTATTTAAGAAATGTACCAATATTTTGCAAAAAGATAAATATTTTTTATGTTTTTGACTAACTTTTTCATTTTATTATTTGAAAATGCAACCATATTTTTATGATAATTTAAATTATATTTTACATTAATATTTATTTATTTATAATAAATTTATGAAAAATGAAGGAAAATAATGCTTATAAAATGACTTTGTAAAACTTCTGTTTAGCTATTTAATTTAGACAGTTTGGAAAAAGTTTTTAAGCAGTTTATTAATTTGCAAATTTTCTGTATGGGAATGAGTGAATGTTTTGATTTAATTTGAGTCAATGCAAAATTTCACTTATTAGATAATGTAAAAAAGAGTTTTGAAATAAAAATGAATTTTTTTTTTAGTTCTGAAATAGAAACAGAGCTTTAAAATAAAGCTCAGTTTGTGTGGTTTTTTTTTGTAAAAATCAAAACAGTGGTTCAGTAAGGGAGATAAACTTGTTGTTTCTGCAAACACATAACCATGCAAGTTGGCAGCAACATAACAAATGACAGAACTGATCAGAAAAAAAGTAAATAACATCTTAATTTCACTTATAAAACACATACATTCCTTTGTTTTAGTGAATATTCCTAATTGATGTCTATAGGCTTAGCGAAAACACTACATTTTATTGTAACATTTTGGTGGCTATTGACATAATTACATAATAATAATTTTCTACTGCAAATTTTCCCAGGATTGCTATAATTTCTCTCAAATCTCATTTGTGTAATAGCATATTCTATATCTCTGTCTCCAAGATCAGTTAAGAATTGACAATGGTTTTATCTAAATATTTCTCATCAAACATTATAATAGATAACTGTAGTATCTTTTATGAATTGGAACTAAAATTTGTCACTAATCATTTACATTATTACAGTAGAACCCTAATTAACCAAAGTAATGTGGACTGTGGTATCCAAAATATTCATCAAATTGTAGATTTAAATTTAAACTTTATTATTATTTTTTATGTAAAATGAAATTTGTATAACCAAAAATCAAAAGAAACTAAACTAGGAATATCCATTGACATATTTCCATTAAACTTATCCCTACCAAGATGAAGTTCAAACCACAATTGCATTTTAAACCACAATTGGAAGAATCAAACTTCATTTTAAATTTGGATAATATTGCACCTATTGGGATTATAACATTTTGGCAGGTGCAAGTGAACATTCAGAAGGTATGAACCTCAAAGAAGTTATGTGAGACCTATTTTCCAGTTGTCAATATCATCTTCCAACAAATCCAGAAAATCATCTCAGTCACTGGCAATTGTTTCATCCTTGTACAGGTAACCCCCGTATAACACGGTAGTTACGTTCCAAAAAAATTGCCGTGTTATGCGAATCCGTGTTATATGAAGCAAAGAACTAGTACGAAAAGGAGTGTTAGGTTCCAAAAATTAAAAACATGTTATTATATTTTCATAATTAAGGTAAATATCTTTATTAAAATTTTCTTAAGTGATACATATTAATATACATTAAACAATGTTTTCTTCTTCATCGCTAAAAGCACTATTAACCGAGAGCGTTTTTTTTGGCAAGTTATCCTTATCCTCTTAGCATTTTTCTGCATTATCTTCAGATCTATACTTTTCCTTTTGCAAAATGTATGTGATTTTAGATTGCTTGTTTCTAGTTAAAAGATCTTTATAAATGTCCTTATATGGTGATAAGCACTTATCAAGAATAAAGCAAGTATGGAATATTGGAAAAATATCTGGCAACATCAGAAGAAGAAGCGTCGCGATCTGGCAACATTGAAATAAATTTCGAGAAGGATCATATGTATGGATAGAAGGCAAGAAAAGAAAATTTACATATGTTTGGATAGAAGGCAAGAAAAGAAAATTTACATACNTATTGGAAAAATATCTGGCAACATCAGAAGAAGAAGCGTCGCGATCTGGCAACATTGAAACAAATTTCGAGAAGGATCATGTGTATGGACAGAAGGCGAGAAAAGAAAATTTACATACTTAAGTACTAACAGTTCACGAAAATAATAATTTTCGTGAACTGTTATTACTTAAGTATGTAAAAATTTATTACATTTCATGTTGTACGAGGGTTTTACCCAATTCTCGAACCGTGTTAGAGTGAATCCATGCTATAACGGTACCGTGTTATATGGGGGTGGTACCAATTCTCAAACCGTGTTAGAGTGAATCTGTGCTATAGAAGTGCCATGTTATACGGGGGTTACCTATACATCATTGTATATAGGTAATATGTAATTATAAACTTCTCTCTCTCTCTTAGTGTGTGTGTAGCTTCTCTGTTAGAACCCACATGTTCTCCTTTCAAAAAAGATGTCAAATAATCAAGTGAGTGAGGTTTGTATAGGTCAGCAACTTGGGCCTAACCAGAAATTGCCCTATTAAAAGGAATGGACCTCATATTATCTTGGATATCTGAAAACTCAGATAAAATGGATTGTCACAGCAATTTCAAATTAAAAATTATGAATATAAAACATTTATATGATATATCATTTTTAAGCCTGTTTTTACACCTTAGCAAATTTAACCACTCAGCAGTGACTGACAGATATATCTGTCAAGGGCGATTGTGTGGCATTGGTGAACGATGGATATATCTGCAAAATTCTTGTATGGATATCACCAAAAACTAGCCAAAAACTACTGCAAAAAAAATTCACATAAAAAAGGAATTATGTAACAATAAAAAAAGACTTTTCTTTACTAGACATAACTGTTTACAAAATCTTATTCCAAAGCGGTAATGAGAAAAAATGCATGGGAAAATACTAAAAAAATTTCCCATGTTTTTTCTCCACTATATAGGGATGGCATACCTGACTAATAGCATACCATACCTGACTAATCTACTGTTGAAAGGTTGATCATATAAGAATAATATTTTTAAAAATTATTTATTATACATCTAACACATATTTTTACTTTTAAAACTATTGTGTATATATTATTATAGTTAATTTTAATAGAAATAATTTGCTTTGTATTGAAGTTTAATGATAAAAGGTAACAAAAACAAATCATTTTGTGATAGTTGTTATCATTTTAAACATTCTTTTATGATTTATAGTATAAGAAAAGTAGTGTTCACTTACAGATTTACTTCAGACATCCAATAATTGGTGTTCTACTGTATCTTAAATCCAAAAAATATTTACATATTACTTTTTGCTATTTTCTGTCTAATCTAATTTGGCAGTAAGCTAAAATTTGTCTTGTTTTAAAAAAAACAGATTCATTCATCATTTTATATATAAATGTATGTATGTATGTATACAAGTTGTCTGGATTGAGACTGACACATTTTGAAATGCTATAAATAAAATTAGGAAAGAACTACAATAAAAGTAAAGTATGCAATTTGAAAACTCCCAAAGTTTTATTGCAAAAATTGATACAGTTCTACCTTTACTCTTTTTACACAATATTATAAAATTTCCATATATGCTCCTCCTGTTGCATAGAGAATATCTAAATGATATTGAATTTCCTGCCATGTATTCCATAACATCTGGGCATAACATAAGCAACAGCATCCTGTACAAGGGGCAGTCAAAAAATTGCAGGACTGGTCCAATAGAAAATGTCTGAGGTACTGTACTGTACATCTTAATTTATTGAGAGTTGTTGCCTTCAAAATAAGTTTCTTCTGTAGCTATTGGTAGATTTCAACACTTCTCCCAGTTTTCAAAACATTTCTGAAACTACTTTTTTTTATGTTACGTACTTGCTGCAATTCTGTTTGAATGTCGTCAGTGTTCTCAAATCACTGTCCTATCAGCACTTTTCAGCTGTGGAAATAGAGAAACGTCACAGTGTCAAGTCTGGTGAATAAGGAGGGCAGTGTACTATAGCCATTTTATTTTTGAAGAGAAACTGATCAATGGAGAGAGTTGTGTGAGTGAGGCATTGTCATGATGAAACAACTAATCCAAAGATCTGGTCTTTTTCGTTTGACATTTTCATGAAAGCAGCTGTATAAAAATTTTTATTCATAGTTTGACCTTGTGCAATAAATTCTCAGAATAATCCCCTCCCTATTGAAAAAAACACTAAGCATGTTCTTGAGATTGAACCTTGCTTGGTATGCTTTTTGGTCTGAGTGAGCCATGATTTTTCTATTGAGTCAATTATTGTTTGGTCTCAGGGTCATAGCTGTAAATTTTTGCTTCATCTCCTGTAATCACTTTCTTTTCTGCTGCAGTCTTGCCAAGTTTGAAACAAAATTTACGCTCACACACTGTTCCTTAAATGAATCATTTTACAAAGCAATGAAAATTGCAAATCAGCAAGGACATAGATCTAATCTAAATAGCAAGAAACAAAAACTACATAAGATAATGGCATGAAATTTGGCAGGAAGCTAAATGACAATGTTTATTACACATCCCAATTTGCACAAGTTTAGCACATGGCTGATTGTAGTGCCATGCCACCAGTCCCAATAGTTTTTGACTGCATCTTGTATGTGCACATGAAGTTCATTGAGGTTGTTGATTTTGGTGCTAGCATAAATCCTGTCTTTCACATAATTCCAGAGGAAGAAATCTAGAGGTGTAATGTCAGGATTGTGAAGTCCATAGATGTGGAGAATATTGTTCAACTGGAATATACTGCAGTTAGACTTTGTCTTCAGCTAATGCCATTTTGACAATTGCAACCGCAACACCACAACTAATTGCTCCACATGCCTGAATTAATTCTAGGGAAACTTATATACCTGCTCTTCCTCCTGTAATGCATTAAATGCATTTATCTTTATGCATTGAATTTTGGCAGCAATTTAAAATGTGTCACTCTTATTCCAGACATCCTGTATATCAAATGTGTGTGTAAATTTTTTTACACACACTACACACTTTCCACACACACTGAAAAGATTATCGAAAATAATAAATCTCAGAAC